TCAATTCCTCAGCACCACATAAGCAGAAAAAGCCAGAAGTGGCACTGTGGCTCAAGTGGTAGAGCACTAGCCTTGAGCTGAAAAGCTGAGGGACATTGCTCAGGCCGAGTTCAGGCCCCATGGACACACACACACACACACACACACAAAGAAATTGCAAGTTATGACTGCATAGAATTATAGCAGTTATCAGTGTGTTGTAGCAGTAATACCAAGATTTCTTTCCCCAAAAAGTAGGCAAGAATACATGCTATACTGAACCTATTCTGGAAAGAACTTGATAAAATTCCTACATGGACATTACACAGTACTTTTTATCAACATCCTCTCCAATAAACTCTTATACTATTTGACCATACGAACCTCTCCCATACCCAAATCCCATGTGTGCACTGGGCTGTTCTAACATGAATCTAAGAAGATATTCTAAGCATCCCCTGTAAATCACGACCTCTCACTCCAAATCTGGGCCATTTATGTAATGAAAGATCAAGCAAAGACCTTCCAAAGCAAACAAACTCCCAAACGTTCACTAGTCGCACTCACTGCAAGCCAGCGCTTACACAAGCATTCTTCTGAAACCCCTCCTTCTTATATACACTAAGAAAAAGACAATTATTGCCAGGCCTGGTGTCTCACAGTTCGTGGCAAGCCTGCCCAAAAAGTTAGTGAGACTCCATCTTAATCTTTAAGCTGAGTACAGTGGCACGTAAATTTCATCCCAGCTACATGAGAGGCCACAGATGGGCAAAATCAATGTCTGAGGCTGGCTCTGGACAAAAATATGAAACCTGGGGGGGGGGGGGGGGGGGAGGAAAGCTTTAAAAAAGCAAAAACAAGGGCTAGGGGCATGAGTCAGATGGCAAGAATGAAACCTGGAGTTCAAAACCCCAGTATTTCCCCCTTCAAAAAAAGACAATCATTCTGCAGCCGTCATACCCCGTTCTGTTTTAAAATCTAAACAGGAAGTACAAAGGGCGTGAGCATCTCCATCCACAGATGGGCATCAGTACCTTCTCTTTCTTCTCTTTCGACTTCTTCTTTTCCTTGTCCCCTTCTTTGTCTTTCCGTGAGCTCAGCTGTTTCTCCTTGTTCTCCTTGTTCTCTTTCTTCTTCTGTTTTTTTTTCATTGGACTTTTCTCTAAGCCATCGTCCTAAGAAACCAATGGAGCTATGAACTTTTGCCACAAACTTTGTATTTGCTGGTTCACAAACTCTGTACGTGCAGTGCCCACAGAGGCTCATCACTGCCTGGAGTGAGTATGAATCCATCGGGACCTCAGAGTGCTCACTTGCGTAATTCTCCACTCCCTGGTCACACATCTAGGCCAATATGGACAAACATACCCTACTCACATCCTCTCATCAAGTCTTACTCTAGTAACCCATAAGACAGGCATCACTGGGCTGGAGTGCAGCTCTAGAATGTGTGAGGCCCTGAGTTGAACCCCAGCACTATTTCCCACCAAAAAAAAAAAAAATTGACACTATTCCTATTTCTAAGACAGAAAAACTGAGGGCTAGAGAGATTAATTGTATACTTATCCACAACCAGTTAGTCATTGATGAGGTTGCTAATAAGTGAATTTATGGATGTAAACAAATTCACGGCAGTTCCAGCTCCCCAAAATGACAGAATAAAATCCCATAGTGTTACCACTCATTGAAAGGGCATGTGAGTAAAACCAATATACTTTTCACTTTACTCAGACTAGAGGTTACTAACTGGCAGGACTTGGACCTACTAACCCACAGAAAAGTGGGTCCTGCTTTGTTTGGATCTAGGAAGAACTAGCTGTGTCATACGTAGCTCCCTGCTTCACATCAGATGTGAGCTCCCTCCCTGGTAAACCAATCCACATCACACCCGCTCATTTCAATGAGCCAATCAACTGGCATTTGGCTTTCACAGCTCTAACTGCTAGCTTAAATGCAGCTTTATTCTTCTGACAGATTAAGCAAAGATACACATAGTTTATTTGTATTTTGTCTATGCTACCTGTAAACCAAACATATCAAATGATTTTGGTAAGCTGACACGATAAGTAGAACTTAAAGACAACCAACACCAGCCTCAAATGAAATTCAAGCTCGTACCTTTACCTCTCCCTCTTCTGATGGGTTATCTGAGTGCCGAGGAGATGAAAATTCAAGTCCGTGCTCATCTTTCAGCCTAGGCGCTTTGTTTTCCTTCTTTACTCGAGGCTTCCGCTTTAACTTGGCCTGGAAAGAAGAAGTAAAAAGGTATAGATCAAGCTCCTCAGAAGCATGACTGAATGTTCTGATCCTTTCATGCAACAGCAGCCATAAGCAAACAAGGAAATTCAAGGAAATGAAGAGCATAATCAATAGGCTGGACACAAAATCCATAAGCTAAACATACATATGTAATATACACATGTGTAGCAATTAAGGAAATCTGTATTGCTTTGAATCTATTGATTCTATCCTTGGAATTCATCCTAAAGATAAAATTATGAAAAAGAGGTAAAACATCTTCTGCACAAAGACAATTTAAAATAATATACTAAAAAAATCTGGGAACAAGCTATATCTACAAGTAAGGAAAAGGTAAAAGTACTGTTTATCTACATAACCGCATGTGACACAATAATGTAAAACAAGTATATAGATGATCTCGCAGCACACTCTAGCACACCTGTAGAATGATGTGGTGAGCTTACACTGTTACACATAAAGCACAGTGATTTCCCCTAAGTCAGTGTCACAGCTAAAAGAGCGGTTAAGGACTGGGAATGTGGTTTAGTGGTTGAGTGCTTGCCTAGCATGCATGAAGCCCTGCTTTCAATTCCTCAGTACCCCACGAACAGAAAAAGCCAAGAGTGGTGCTGTGGCTCAAGTGGTAGATAAGAGTGTTAGCCTTGAGCAAAAAAGAAGCTCAGGACAGTGCCCAAGCCCTGAGTTCAAATCCCAGGACTAGCAAAATAAATCAATAAAAGAGCACCTAAGGAATGCCTAACTTAGCGGCTCCAATGTGACTTACTTCACGTCTTTCTAGGCCTGACTAAAATGTCGATAGGGAAGTCATGAGAGAAACTATTCAGGTGAATTCCTTAGAATCTTGGTGTTTTTCTGTGAGTTATCAGGTTATCATGATTGAAGCTTGGTTTCTGAAATTAACACTGTCTTAGCTGTTTATCCCATGATCGGTGATCACGAGCGGTCCCTGAGATACAGCAATAAGCAAATTCAAGGACATTCAGTGCAGTGGTTGGACCCCAGGTGACTAAGTAAGTGAGCAGGAAAGGGAAACAGCACAGTACAGTACTGGACTAGTGCAGTACTGGGATGGAGGGCCTGGACTCAAGGCATTCTCACTAGAGACATTTTTCTTTCAGGATTATTTTTTAAGTGGTATTAGAGGCGCTAGGTTTGTGAGAAAGATGCCAAGGTGTAGAAGTGATCACTAAGTGAGCATTTTTATAACTCCTAGGCAAACCATCATGATGGACTCTCAGATCAGGAGGTCACAGTATCAGAAAGGACATCTCTGCCCAGCTAGCTCTGTAGAGTTGGAGCCTCATCCCCAAAGAAGCCACGCACCTCCTCTCCACTCGTCACTGCCTCCTTCTTCTCCAAGCCCCTCCTGAGCAGCTTGAGCAGGTAGTCGGCTCGGTTCTGCAACTGCTTTCCCTGAGGCTTCTTGTCTGTCTCCACTGGCAGAATCTTCAACAAAAAAGGGAGAGAAGCACCCACCGCCACCCATGGCCTGGTTAGTGGATGAGGGTAAACAAACCACCAAAAGCTCAGGCACAGTTCCTCCCCACCCTGGCCGCCCCAACACACAGATAAAGCCTCAGTTCCTGTCTCATGTCTGTGGCACCCAGTCACTGAAAATCCCTCGTGAGCCATTCTCATTCTACACAACGGGATGGAGAAATCCAGCTCTCCCACTGGCTCCTACCTGTGCTGTTAACAGGGCAGAACAACTCAGGTAGGAGGGGCTTGTGGCTTCATCTGCTAGAGCATCCCAGCCGTCGTGGATTTCCTCCTTCCAGAAGCAGGGAATCCCTGGAGCTAGGTTAAAGCTTCGTTTTAGATTGAAAATGCTTCCTAGAGCATTGCCTGAGAGCACTGGGCTCTGCCAGGACATGGTCTCTGCCCTGCGACCATAGCTGCACCTCTCAGGCCAGACTGGGTTTGGTCTCAGTGCTTATGACAGGGTGCTGTCACCCTCCTAAAACCGGAGATGGGACGAGCAGAAAAAGCCCTTGAAGGAGCACAAAGTGAGGTGAGTCCTGCTTAAATTGGAGCCAGTCAGCTGTCCTTGCTTACAGCTCTAACCGTGGCCTTGTTACTTGCAACAGATAGGGTGGGAGGCTCGATTTCCCGACAAAAAAAAATACCAAGGGGTCAGCCATTATTCCTGGGTAGAACTGAAGTAAGGTTATTTCAAATTACTTGTAAACAAAGGGCCAGTAACTCGGCCCCGCCAACACTTTACTATATCGTGCGTGGTATTTGTTCTAATGAGATTTGACCTGTAATAGTTACCGGAATTTAAAGGTTTCTCCTACCATTTTCCCCAAATTTCACCTGGTTACTATCTATACTTTTATTGCCCTCTATGAAACAGTGCCACAATGCTAACTTTCCCAAGAATGAGGAATCCTGGGAATTTTCTCTGGTGTTTATATCTAGCTTGATCTCCCCTTTCAAAAACAGTGAAGAATAAAGTAAGCGACACAAAAACACGACACAACAAAAATGTGGCAATCGCCAGCATACAGAGGCACTTACTTTGTCAGTCAGATTCAGCTCTGGGTCCGTCTTAATTAACTCCCAGTTCCCGTAGCCATGTTCGTAAATTCCCAGCAGCAGGCGCGAGTCATCCTCCACGCCCCACTCCACATCGAAGTGCGCAGCTTTGACCCGGCAGGTTAAGCAGTACCTACAGGACAGAGCGGGGTTAAGAGCGTAAGAGCCCAGGACCCTTCTGATTTGGCAAATAAGAAGCAAGAAAGCCAGACGTTGGTGGCCTTCACCTATAAACTATCTCCTTAGGGGACTATTGTCAGCAAGATAGCAGTTACAGGCCAGCTGGGACAAAAAGTTCATAAGACCTCATCTTAACCTATAGTGCTGGGCATGGTGGCATGGTCCGGCAGGCTCACTGTGGCAAGACACATGAAATACAACTGTCGTCCAGGGCGGCCTGCGCAAAATTAACTAAGGCAAAATATATAAAAGTGTGGTTCAAGTGGTACAGAGCCTGCCTGTGCACAAAGCCCTGAATTTAAACTCCGGCAGCACCAAAGCAGAGACAATAAAAACGTTACCTGACTACACATCACTGTAACTCCAAACCTGTTCTCAATGGCCCATGAAGGTTCTCAGAATATACTCACTTTTTTTTTTCTTCAGGGTCCACGGGGATAGATTTATGCAGCATCTCAAACTCTTCTTCATGTTGGATAATGGATTTCACATTAACCTGAACTCCAGAAATCTTGATGGTGGGGCCTCTCCTTTTCCCTGGTCCTTTCCCTGAGGAATACAAATTTTTTATTACTTAAAGAAAATATGTTACAATTTTATAGAAAACATTTATCATCAAACTCTGAAATCTTAGTCCACCTTTATAATCTCGTTTTTTTGTGTGTGTTTTTTTGGGGTTTTTTTTGGGTCCGGTCATGGGGCCTGAACTCTGGGCCTGGGCGCTGTCCCTCAGCTCTTCAACTCAAGGATAGCGCTCTACCATTTGAGCCACAGTGCCACTTCCGGCTTTTTTCTTTTTGTTTATGTGGTGCTGAGGAATCGAACCCAGGGTCTCAGGCATACAAGGCAAGCGCTCTACCATTGAGCCACCTTCCCAGCCCCTAATCTCCAGTTTTTACTCTTAGTTCAAAGACACAATCTGTAAAGCAAAAGTGTTCTTGATATTTATAAAGTAAGTTTTAACCATGTTTTAATATTGAGGGCTTTTTAAAGACATTTGGTGTTTAATCTCTTGTTTAAACTGCTATGTTACAAAATTCATAAATTAACACAAAAAGATTATAAAGACATGAATGGTGAGCTATTTCCTTTTGTATTACTAATTCCAACAAAAAGCTCAAAAATAACCAAATGTTTTTTTTTTATTTATGTTTTTTCTTTTTTTTTTAATTTTATTTGTGAACATACTGTACAGAGGGGTTACAATTACATGGGCAGGATAATGCGTACATTTCTTACTAAGCATTGCAGCCTCCTCCTTTGGTTTACCCTTCACATTCCTTCCCAGCCTCCCCCCTCCCCCACCAAATGTCTTAAAGATGCTTCCTACTTATCTTTATAACACTACTAATGAAACGATATGAGATTATGTAGGTAGCACATTAAAATAACAAAGGTGCATGAACACCTGAAATCATGATGATTTAGAAGCAAAAGTAAAACCTAGTCACTCAAACCAGAATCCAAGTGGAAATATACAAGAATACCACTTGGTGAAAGCAAAGAGTTTTCCATGGAAACGTGGGCAAAATATATGAAGACAGCTGAAAGAAAACAAAATGCAAATACCTCTTAGAGAGACATAAGATTGCTTTCCACCTGACAGGTTAACAAAAATCCAGAAACCATCATGCGCTCTGCTCATGAGGCTTGTGACAGGTACTAACAACCCTTCTAGTGATGTAAATGAAAACAACCAAGTAAAGCACAGTCACTTTCCTCTGCACCTTCTAATCCCACTTCTAGAATGTCACAAAGACACGCTGGGGAGATACACAACAGTATATTCGTGAGATCACATTAATTCTTGGGGGCTTTATTCATAATGACAACAGACTGAAAACAAGCAAAATATTCAGATTACAGGAAAATATGGTTGCGAGCCATCTAATAGGACATGGGCAACTGCAGAAGGAAAGAAAGCCATCTCTACAGAATGACCCAATGCCCTCAGGAATGATGGACAGACACAACTGCACAGCAGGCATGGTATGTAAACAAGTGGAAATGCACAAGTGCACACACTATCTTATATTCTTTAAAGCATGCTGTAGAATAGTAAACTCACAACTCGCAAGAACACTGACCTAATAAAAAGAGGACAAGCACATGGCTGGAACACAGGTTAAAGCAAGATTCCCTAAGTGTACCTGCTTTATGCCTTTCTTTTGGACCATTTCTATGTAGATACTTTGTAAGATTAAAAAAACAAAGGTGCCCAGTGCCGATGGCTCAGGCCTATAATCCTAGCTACTCAGGAGGCTGAGATCTGAGGAGCGCAGTTCAAAGCCAACCCAGGCAGCAAAGTTCAGTCCGTGAGATTCTTATCTCCAATTAACCATCAGAAAACCAGAAGTGAAGCTGTGGCTCAAGTGGTAGAGCGCTCACCTTGAGCAGAAGAGCTCAGGAACAGCGCCCAAGCCCAGAGTTCAAATCCCACAACTAACAACAACAAAAAAAAAAGCTAAGTCAATAAAAGGGGGAGTACTAAAAACTAAAACTGAATGAAAACATTCAATTACATTAGTGTATAGTCACACAGTCAAAAAGAACAACTTCAAATAATTTATATCATTGGTAGAATGAATGCTAATGACAAAAAGATATGCAAAGATCTGGGTCTTACTGTTATTGATCATTGGAAATATATTACACAATGTGGGTTTGTTAACAGTCATCTTTGGAGTGAAAAGATAGAGGCATCCACACAGACTTGCCCCTCGGGTCTTTGTGTCATTCAAACCAATTTGGTCTTTGCATACCATCATGAAAGAACCCGCCATTCATCTTGTTCATCACTATACACATCCTGCAAACCAACTTGGTTTGTGAACAGATTTCTCCTAGTACAGAATGAATAAAACAAACATTGGGCACGTGTAGATTTACAAGTATGCTGGAAAGAAGCTGGTCATGGAAATCCCAGTTCCCAGGCCCAGAGCTGGGGACATCCCCACCACTGACCTGTGACTTACCCTCACTGGCATTCTCCTTCAGCTGTTCCTCATACTCCTGCATTGCTGATACACAGCTATTGTGGATCAGCTCACCCAGGCGCTTCAGGTCTGCCACAGACTTATCCACCAACTCAGCATCACGTGCTATGCACTCTAGCCTGAGGAAACACAGAGGGGGATATGCTGTTTTCTCCTTTTTCTGAAGGTCACACAATCTGAGCCCCCAGCTATCACCTGAGTTTAATCCAGCCAAGACACCTTTTACTGTCTTTCTGCACGGTTCATCTCCAGGCTCTACCACTGTACAGAAAGGGCTAACACACCCGCCTTCCATCACAAAGAATGATGCCCTGGAGCATTCCAGAAAGTTAAGTAATTGCAAACATCAGAAAGGAGCAGGTTCGAGTAAAGTGAGTAGATGACTAACTGCCTCTCCATGTTCACTTTCCTTCTCCCTGTTTGGCTGTCACTCAGTTTCCCTGTTCCCAGAGCACAGTTTACAACTCAGAAACACACTGGCTAAAACCAATTTTAATACATTCTGGGTTGTTTTCTTTTTTGTTTTTTTTTTAAATAGTAACTAGCTCAAAGATAAGCATTCCACCACGGGGGGTGGGGGGGTAAGGAGTGTGGGTGGGGAACGGACACAAATGCACCCCAAGAAGATGCACCCAACTCTGGCAATTCTGCTGTGACTGTTATGTATCACTATACCCTCTCCAAATGGAAAGGACAAAACAAACAACAAAGCACACAAACAAAAAACAAGCTTGGTACTTTCACCAGCCCCAGAAGTTCATCAGGAATTTAGAGATGGCAATCTAACATTTCCTTCAAATCATTGCCTTTATTTAAAGGATGTATAGTTGACTCTGCATAAAGCAAAATACTGAACTATTTGATATATAGAGTTTTCTGAATTCATTTTTTCTGGAAGTTACTCTGGGCAAGATGATACAGGCTCTTTCTATTTAATCTTAAATGACAAAGAGCCTCTTTCCTTTGACTACTAAATCTAAGAATATAAACATCTCTTTTTAAAGTGCTTATTTTCTGGGCACTGGTGGCTCACTCCTATAATCCTAGCTAGGAAGGAAGCTGAGATCTAAGGATCGTGGTTCAAACCCAGCCCGGGCAAGAAAGTCCATGAGACTCTTATGGCGCTGTGCTCAAGTGGTAGAACACTAGCCTTGAGCTGAAGAGTTGAGGGACAGCACCCAGGCCCAGAGTTGAAGCCTCACGACCAACACACACACACACACACACATACACAGTGCTTGCTTATCTTCCTCAAGGAAAGCAAAATCCCTAAGAAAAATGATCTATCTCTACCACCTGTCATCTTCCCAATATGGGATATACACCCAAAATATCAACATTTGTAAAACAATGTTGCCAGAATTTATAAAAAGGAAGTTCCCAACATCAGTATTAAATGAAAAATGTGGAAGTTGTGCTATAGCTCAAGTGGTAGAGCGCTCGGCCTTGACCTGAAGAGTACAGGGACAGCGTCCAAGCCCAAAGTTCAAGCCCCAGTGACCGACCAAAAAAAAAAAAAAAAACAACCCAAAAAATAAATTTATCAAAAAATAAAAAAAAGAAAGAAAAAGAAAAACGTCACCAAAAAGAGAATCTGCTATATAAAACTGAAAAAAGAAAGGGGTTATTACCAAGCTTACCGTTCTAGAGGGAGCCCAAACTTCTTATAAGCTTTGATAAACCTAGAAATAGGATAAATAAAACACATTCAAAACCAGAGCATTAGATACATTAATGTCAACATACCCTGTGGATATGAGCCACAAGAATTCTCAAAACTTTAGACTGAGCCCAAATCCTTTCAAGTAAGACTAGATGAACACACAGTGTGTTTGAAACTGACCAACTTCAAAGAATGAGCACTTGCAGACATTTCAAATTAATGGCCAGCATTGTTCTTAGTGACTGATCATGAGACTGCTTGCAAGTATAATGCAACTATAAGAGAGAGCCAGGCCTAGTGACTCACACTGGCAGAGCCCAAAGGATTACCAGTTCAAAAGCCAATCTGCCCTACTTAGTAAAACCTTGTTTTAAAAAAAGGTGGGTAGGGGGAAAGACACTGGTGGGTCACACCTCTAATAATTAGCTATTAAGGAGACTGAAATTTCAAGATTGTGGTTCCAAGCCAGCCAGGGCAGAAAAGTCCAAGAGACTCTTACCTCCAATTTATTCCACCATAAAGCCAGAAATGGATCTGTGGCTCAAATGGTAGAGCACCAGCCTTAAGTGAAAAAGCCAATTGAGGAGGGCTTGAGGCTCTAAGTTTCAAGCCCCAGTACCAGCAAGAAATAAAAATCAGGAAAAACAATGTATGTATATGCATACATATGTGTGAGTGTGTATACACACACATACACACACTCACACATAAACATATGTAAGAAGCTAGAAATGTGGCTTAGTGGAAGAATGCTTGCCCAGCATGCATGAAGCCCTAGGTTCGATTCCTCAGTACCACATACACAGAAAAAGCCCCTAGTGGCACTGTGGCTCAAATGATAGAGTGCTAACCTTGAGCAACAGAAGTCCAGGGACAGTGCCCAGGCCCTGAGTTCAGGCCTTAGGACTGGCAAAAAAATAAACAAACATATATGAGAACTCTATGTTTTAATATATTTCTTGTAGGCTTGTAAAGTTCAACACGTAACTAATGATTTAGTTATCAAAACTCTATCATGATAAACTTCCAATATCATTTGTTGGCCTATTCAGTCCATTTTGCTTCTAATTATAAACTCTATTTTTTTTTATTGTCTAGCCAAGGATACAGCCATGAAGAGTCCTAAGACTGTCTCAAATGCCTTTTGAAATTAGGCCAAAATAAACTAAATATATAATTTAAAACTTCTTAGGCAAAACTGTTAAGAAACTCTAGTGATTCCTGCCCAACCATACGTCTCCCACTAAAAATCCAATGCAGCTTTCCAGTCTCTACTTCTGGCCACGCAAACCACCTTCTCCCTATGCTCACAGACTAGCCACTAGAAAGCAAGAAGTCCCAATGTACCCCGGCCATCACTGTGACATGCCACTCGACCATGACAATATGGTGGTGTGACAGTAGAAAGAGAAAAGAGGATGGGATGTGATCAGAGCTAGGAAACAACACTGAAGACGAGTACGAGGACTGAGACAGCAGATCGGAGGCCACCCCTCAGAGGGCTCTGCTATCTCCCAGTGCACACTGTAGCATTTCACATCGGGTGGGAACAGGAGGACCTGCGGTTCACTGAGTCCAGATTCAGAATTGCGAAGGGATTAAGGGTGGGAGGTGGAAGTCTAGTTTGTCAATACTGGCATACATTTATATTTTCCTTCAATAAGTTTAACAAAAAAGGAGGAATAGGAATAATGTTTAAATAGAAACAAAAGACCTTACAGTTTCAAATATAATTTAATACATATGGATTAGGACAGAAAGCTAACTTTTCATAATTTCTTTTTTCTTTATACTTTTAAAGAAACAATGTGGAATTTAGGAAAATGTATTTAGAAGCAGCCATTTTAGATCACATTTTCGGAGAGTGAAGCATTATGTAATCAGATACCATCAAATGTTGACATGACACAGAAAGGTGTCTAGAGTTGATTTTAAGCAGGGTGGCAGGAAGCAAGCTGCCAAAACAGGTCATGTATATGAATAAAATAAATGAACCAAAGCAGGCAAGTGGTATCAGTACTTTCACCAACAATGTGGGCATGGGAATGTGGAGAAGCCAGGGAGGGAAAGGTAATAAGGGTAGTTTTATTTGTACCATTTCTATTTTTTATATCTACATTAATTTTGCTTCATACAGATACATATGTCTGTGTAATCATGTTAATTCTCTTTCTCCCTGGTTGAACTTGCTTTGTGAAAACATTTAGAATGGTACATAGGAGGTGCAATCAGGAGAAGCTGAGTTCAAAGCCAGCCGAAGATAGAGGGGAAAAGGTAGCAAGATCCCATCTCAACCAATAAGCTGGGTAGAGTGGCACATGCCTGGCATCTCAGCTACTAGGAAGGCTTCGATAGAAGAACTTAGCCCTACTCAAAAAATGCTAGACTACCTGAAAAATAACTAAAGCAAAAATGGGGTAGAGGCATGACTAAAGTGATAGAGCACCTATCTTTAAAAAAAAAGAAAAATGGTCAGAATAGAAAGCAAACAAACAAAGAGATCAACAACAGACCAGGGCACCCTACCACCCCCACCCCCTGGCCTTGGCTGCGGAAATCTTTGCAAAAGGCAGCATGGTCCTGAAGATCTGGGTACAACTCAGCATCTACCTTTGGAGTAGGGAGTAACTTGTGCCTACTCTGGAATAATAAATGTCAGGAATCCAAAGTGCCTGCAGCAAGTCCTTGCAAACCAGCTCAAGTGGGAGCACAGGCTGCACCAACCTGCGGATCTCGGTGTCGGTAAACCCCTCCACGAGGTCCTTCCGCACACTCCGAGGGCGCCCGCGGCGCTTGGGCTTCTTATCGTCATCAGAGTCGTCTGTCTCGCTCTCAGAGGCAGAGGACCTCTGGGCCTGCCTCTTAGACTCAGTGTCAGAATCACTATCATTCGTCTGAGCCTGAAAAATAAAAGAGGAAAGGTCACACTTCAGCAAATGTTCTATCCACACACTGACAGGTCTAAGATCAGCCCTTCTTAATTCTTTCACACTCAGATTCCCTTTCACAAACCAAGAGGCCAATGAGGAAAACTTGCTTCACATAGTCACACCTTCAGAAACTTCATAGTGTGGTCAATGAAACAGGTTAAAAGATACCTGAATATTTTCATAACATCCAATATCCTGGGGGACACGTTAACTAGTCCCTATAACACAAGGAGACTCGTCACAAGGACTGGATGGATCAACAAGTGAAAACACACTTGGATGGAGGCCTGGTGTACCACAAGCGCTCGGTAAATACTAGCTACTTTTACCTAACACTGAATTATCAGGATGTCTGCCATCTCCAACAAAATGGATAAAAAACACTTCTCTGAAATGGTGCCTGAGCAAGTACTACAATCATCGAGCCTGTGAGTGCTCCTCGGTTTTGGGTGATTTATGTAATCTTTTGCAAAGAAAGTACTTTTCCACATGCTATGAACGTGTAAAGACACACTCATAGGCCGGGCTTACTGAAAGCTGAGGCTAGTGGCAGGAAGAGCAAAATTGTTAGGATTACCAATTCTAATCTCAAAGGCAAAACAAAAACTGCTGCTGCACTCGGATCCCCTTCAACCAAGTCATAAAAAGAGGATTTGCAAACCCAATCAAATCAAATGGCTCTGCATTTAGCCACTGTTCTCTGCTCTGCAGCCTCTGAACCAGGCAACAACGCAAAGCCGCTTCCTTGAAAACCCTTCACACACAAATACTTTCCTCTTAACCACATTACCTTTTTGGTGGAACTGCGAATCCGAGGCAGCATATAAATTTCTTCCAGCTCCTTCTGTCGTTCCTCCTCCTCTACTTTCTTCCTTTGCTCTTCTGGAATGATCTCATCCCAGTCCTTATGAGGACGCTCTTCCAGCTCCTCCTCATCTTCCATCGTTGCAAAATTGGCAACCTGAAAACAAACAGACAAGCCACTGTCTAACGTATCTCTACTTCCCAGCTCCATCCACTAAACCAGTGTTCCCAAAAAGAAGTCAGACTCTCAGTAAAGAGACTCCTGTGAGTTGGCACCATATCTTAGATTCCTTCTTAACTTTGCAGGTTATTTCTCAAGGTCATTTAGAGCCAACAATGAGGTCAATTCTGAAGTTTATCATTAGCCAGGCACTGGAGGCTCACACCTATAATCCTAGTTACTCAGAAGGCTGAGCTATACGATTGCAGCTGAAAGCCAGCCCAGGTAGAAAAGTCCATAAGACTCTTATCTCCAATAAACAGAAAAAGTTGGAAGTGGTGTTTGGTTCAAGCAGTAGAGTGCTAGCCTAGAGCAAAAAACTTAGGGACAGCACCCAGACCCTGAGTTCAAGCCCCAGGACTGGCAAAACAAAAAGCAAAAATCATCATCATTGCTGTCAAAACTGACTCATTAACTTCCAACAAGGGTATCATGATTTTTCCAAGGGGAAAAAAAGGTGTAATTTTTTTTGCTTTTTGCTTATGTGGTACTGAGGAATCGAACCCAGGGCCTCAAGCATACAAGGCAAGCGCTCTACCACTGAGCCACCTTCCCAGCCCCCAAAAGGTGTAATTTTTGAGACCATTAAAAATGACTGCTATGTCCATTCTTCCAAGTTAAGCAGTTTATAGTTAGTTTCAATCTGATTTTTTTCAAAATTGCCATCCATGTGAGAAGGAAGCAAGATGGGCAGTGTGGCTCACACCTACAATTCGAGGAGGCTCTAGACTCAAAGCCAGCCAGGGCAGGCACTACAATAGGATAACCATCAAAAAAAATGCTGGACGGGCAGCATGACTCAAGTAGTGAAGCACCAGGCAGGAACAAGAAAGCCAAACAATACGGCCTCCAGGCTGGACAGTCTATGAGACTCTTATCTCCAATTAACCAGCCGATCTAAAATACACCAGGACATATACATGACACAGGACTCTAGGCATTCCAGTGAGACAAAGGGAGGATACTCTTAGGGGAAAAACCCAAAGGCACAATGCCTCTGTGCTCACCACGGTGACTGATCATGAAGAATAATCCTTATCACAATGAAAACAAGTCTTTCAATGAAAGTGGAGATGTAGCTCTAGTGGTAGAGCTCCAGCCTTGAGTGAAAAAGCTGAGGGATACCACCCAGGCCCTGAGTTCAAGCCCCAATACTGGCACCAAAAAAAAAAAAAAAAGCCAAACAAGAGAGCATGAGGCTCTGAGTCCAAACCCCGATACCATCAAAAAATGGAAAAAATAAAATAGTCATAGACATAGACAAGAAATGATTATATAATAAATTACTGGTGAGAAGTGTCTCACAGGTATTTTCATACCTTAAACTGTGACAGAAGCTCATCTGTCGCACTTGTGGACACTTCATTCTCCCTGGTTTCAGCTAGGCGTAAAATTTCATCTATATCCATCTCCTGAAAGAAAAAAAGTAATGCAGATATGGTCACAAAACAACCGTCTTCAGCGCTGACTGAAGGCATTAAAGAAACTGGCTTTGCTTGCTGGCATTCTATCCCCTCTAAGGCTCTCGGTCTGTATCCCTTACATCTAAGGTTGCAGATTATGAGCTAGAAATAGTCACGCTCCCAGCTGCTCAGGAGGCAGAGGTAACAGGATCACACGTCAGAGGCCAGCCTGGACAAAGTCAGCAAGACTCTAATTCAAAAGGCAAATAGTAAAGAGGGCTGGGAGCAGAACCCAAGTAGTAGAAGACCTCGGTGTGAAAGGCTCAATGCTGGTGGGGGGGGGGGGGGGGGGGTTACATGGACAAAAACATAAAACTAAAGAAATTACAAAAAGGAAAACTAGAGGGAAATAATCAGACAAAAATCCTTACTTTTTTTCATATTTATTATAGTAAGGGCTTTGAGATCTGTTAAGGAAAAAAACACATGTCCCTTCAATAATTACTCTTTATAAAACTCATAAAACTCAGAATCTGCTTCCTGAAGAATTCAGACATTTCCAGATGAAACTTCTCCCATTAAAAAAAAAAGGGGGGAAAAATTCCCTACAGGGATAGAGCATAGCTTAAGTAGTAGAACAAATGGCTCTCAATTCACTCCTCAGAACCAAAAAACAATTCACCTCCCTATGGGTTACCTGAGGCTCTGACTCCTCCCCTTCAAGTTCTTTGAAGAGATCCTCTGCTCCAAATTTCAAAATAGCTGTCAGCTCTTCTTTATTAAAAGGATTTGAGCTGTAGAAATAAAATGTAGTTGTAATATCTTAGGAACGCCAAGCTCTCAGAAGCTGTATTTCAGAATACCTGCCCTTCAGAAAGGGGTCAAGTTAACTATGAAAAGATAACTGTTGCCCCAAGAAAAATGATCCCTGAAATATCCCATTTCTTATCTTCAGGATAGTTAGTGGACCCTCGCAAAAGCCTAGAAACAATTTTATCCTATTAGCTCATCTATTACATGCTTAAGCAAGAAAATCACCAATGGTTAACATCAAGAAGAGAGTTCCCTACTGAATCTAAGATAAAATGTTTCAACCATTTCATCTCTGCCAGGCTTTTATGATTCAGGTGCCTCTCCAATGGAAAATTATCAGAAGACCTATTTAGAAGGAACAAATCAGACTACATCTCAAAACACAGTACAGCACTCAGTCTGGTCCAAATGTGAACAAACCTCTTCACTTCTATACCGTGCTGCTATGGAATAGGAACAGACTTAACAGTCTCCACACAAGCACCTTCACTAACAGTAGAAACAGCGACCCAAGTAGTCTCATGGAGTCACTCTGAAAAGCCAAAGGGACACTGGGATGGGAGGCAGCTCACCCAGAGAGCTGTCATATCACCCAGAGAGCCAAAGTAGAGCCGAAGGAGAGGCAGAAAGAAGGAGAGATAGCACTTAAGCTTGGGGGCAAAAAGAGAAGAGGGAAAACAGAAGAAAATGAAAATGCCATTTTCTTGCCATATGACTAGTTTTACTGGCAATGTGGCCTAGTGGTAGAGTGCTTGCCTAGCATGCATGAAGCCCTGGGTTCCATTCCTCAGTACCACATACACAGAAAAGGCCAGAAGTGGCTCAAGTGCTGGAGTGCCTGCTTTGAGCAAAAGAAGCTCAGGGAGAGTGCCCCAGCCCTGAGTTCAAGAATGGCAGAAAAAGAAAGAAGGAAAGAGAAAGAAAGAAAGAAAGAAAGAAAGAAAGAAAGA